CTAGTGCTGAGCGCCTCATGTAAAAGTCGGACCTAGGTGAGCCTGGCTTTGAGCCGCTAGTGCTGAGCGCCTCATGTAAAAGTCGGACCTAGGTGAGCCTGGCTTTGAGCCGCTAGTGCTGAGCGCCTCATGACGCATCCCCCTGTCATTGTAGGACACAGGAGCAAGGGAGGGAGAATGCGCAGTTTAGTTGAGAGGCAAGTGTTCTCACTCACATGGAAGTACCTGCGTTGCCAGTCAGTGGGGAGGGCAGAATACTCAATTTGTTGCTGATAGTGCTGCTTATGTAGGAAGGAAGGAAGGAAGGAAGGAAGGCTGAAATCAATGCTTTTCTATCTTCATAAGTAGCATGGGATACTCCAAAGGTGGTGCAGCCTGGCTTCTTGTTGGGCAAGGCTGTTTCAAGATCATTTGCCCCGCGAAGATCATCATCTCTGCTACAATTTCTTTTCTTTTCTTTCTTTTTTTTTTTTTTTTTTGCCAGTCCTGGGGCCTGAACTCTGGGCCTGGGCGCTGTTCCTCAGCTCTTCAGTTCAAGGCTAGTGCTCTACCACTTGAGCAACAGCGCCATTTCTGGCTTTTTCTGCTTATGTGGTGCTAAGGAATCGAACCCAGGGCCTCATGCATGCAAGGCAAGCGCTCTACCACTGAGCCACCTTCCCAGCCCTAAGGATTGTTTTTCATACAAGCATTGTCATTTAGTCCTTCACACAATCATCTGGACTTACCCTCTCTTGTTTCCTGGTCCTTGGGATCAACCTCTGTTCTTGTTCATCTTCTCTTTCTGCACACATTATCCTCACTGGTTGTATTTCCTGCCAGGTACATATGTGGCTGGTGCTACACTCAAGAGTTACCCTGTGAATATACACTGTCATCTTTAACCCATCAAGTATACTTGCTGTTTAGCTCTGCAGACCACTTTTCACAAAAGAATATGTCTGCATACTTGGGGGCTCTGCCCTAGTCTCGCACTCATCTCCTGACTGAGTCTACCTATGTTTCAGGCAGTGTGCAGCTGTTTACATGCTGTCAAATGTCTGCCTTTATTTGGACAGCAGCTTTGGAAGTAATGGCTCTGGTTCAGAAGATGCTAGACTTGAAGCTGCAGTTGTGAGAGGGTATTCTGAACCAAGTTAGCAGAATGCACTAAATTCACTTCTGTGCAATTCACTCTTAGGTGTCATTTACCCTTACTTGTGTGGGTCACATCATATATATTTTTTTGGGGGATGGTCTGGTCATGGGGCCTGAACTCTGGGCCTGGGAGCTGTCCCTCAGCTCTTCACCTCGAGGTTAGTGCTTTACTACTTGAGCCACAGCACCACATCTGGCTTTTTTCTTTTTTGCTTATGTGGTACTGAGGAATCAAACCCAGGGCCTCATGCATGCAAGGCAAGCGCTCTACCACTGAGCCACCTTCCTAGCCCCACATCAAATATTACAATTCTCCTTTCTACTTGCAGATTCTGCACAGCAGCAATTTCGTATTCTTTGTGCAAGTTCTCTTCTCAGCCCCGTGATGCCTTGTACAGCTGTTTATCTCCTGGCCTGATCAAAAAAGTAGGTTTGCCAGGTGCCTGTTTTTCTCCTCTCTTGAGCTCTTGGGTTTTTGTGGCTTTCTTGCTAAAGGCAAAGATCTTTTCAACAAAAGACACAGTGTGTTCTGTGTCAGTCTGTCTCTTGGGTGGCCCAGCTGATTGGAGAGTTTAATGTTTTGTATGCTAAACATTAGGGTACAAAGTGATACAATTATCAACTTCTCCTTTAAACAGAGACTGATTTTTTTTAATAATACAAGCAAATTAAAATGTAAATATTGGTAAAAATCAATACTTTAAAGATACACTGAAGGGCTGGGAAGATGGCTCAATGGTGGAGTGCTTGTCTTGCATGCATGAGGCCCTGGGTTCAATTCCTTAGCACCACATAAACAGAAAAAGCCAGAAGTGGCGCTGTGACTCAAGTAGTAGAGCGCTAGCCTTGAGCTGAAGAGCTGAGGGACAGCACCCTGGCCCAGAGTTCAGGCCCCACGACCGACAAAAAAAAAAAGATACACTGAAAAGCAGGGTACAGATTTTCCAGGACCTCATACTAGTGCTCTAATACATAAGTCATGTCCCCAGTCTATCCCTGCCCCACATACTTGTCCTTTCCTTTTTCTTACTATGGCCTTGAACTTGGGATCCTTATCAGTCAGGAGTAGCTAAGATTAGAGGTGCACTCTTTTTTCCCCTTTTTCTTTGGGGGGTCCTGGGGCTTGAACTCAGGGTTTGGGCACTGCCCTTGAATTTTGTGCTCAAGGCTGGTGCTCTGCCATTTGAGCCACAGTTCCACTTCCAACTTTTTGGGTGGTTAATTGGAGATAAGAATCGCAGAGACTTTCCTGCCCAGTCTGGCTTTGAACTGTGGTCTTCATATCTCAGCCTTCTGAATAGTTAGGATTACAGGTGTGAGCCACGGGTGCTTGACTTTTTAGTTTTTTGAAGATGCTGGAGTTGAATCTAGGGAGTCACTCCTGCAGTGCAAGCTGTGTACCACTGAACCATACCAGCTTCCTCTCTACAGAATTTTATTCTTGTGTATGAAACACTGTTTGTTTTTTTGCTTTGTTTTTAGTTTTTTTATGTGGAGCAGTATTAGTGTTTGAACTCAGATCTTTGCATTTGATAGGCAACTACTTCACCACTTGACCTAAACCTTTAGCTTTTTTTTTTTTTTTTTGGGTCCGGTCGTGGGGCCTGAACTCTGGGCCTGGGCGCTGTCACTCAGCTCTTCAGTTCAAGGCTAGCGCTCTACC